TTCTATTTGAACGATTTTTCAACAAAAAAATAAGACTAGAGGACAGAAAATGTCAAGAGTTTTTACATTTCCGCTTATATACAGATGTCATTGATTCCGCAAATGGCTCTGCAATGGTATGTCTTGGTGAAACAACTGTTGTAGCAGGCTTAAAGGTAATTTCTTAAAGTAGTGTACTAATAATTAGGTCAAGGTAATTCCTGATTCTGTCACTCCTGGAGGTATTGTTTGCGTAGTAGAATTGTCTGGGTTATGCAATCGGTCGGCTAAAATAAATGCTCCGCCGTCTAAATTGTCACAAGCATTGTCTTCTCGTGTTCAAAGAATAATAGACTCATATATTTGTCCTGATTCATCTGAACAGCTTAAAATATTTTCAGCGTCTGATTCTTCTCGTCCATCATTTCATGTTGCCTCTTATTTGCTTCATTTGGATATCATTGTTTTGCAAAATGACGGATGTCTACTCGACGCCTGTCTTCCTGTTGCGTTGGGCTGCCTCCACAATGCAAAGTGGCCGAAGCTCGAAGGAATATCAAATGCTTCAAAAGGATGTTCCTCTTTCTTGCAATTCACTCCATCGCTCCCGTTGTCTACTGTCAGGCTGAACTTATCAGATTGGCCACTCGCCGTTTCATTTGGTATCGTTCCAGTTTTTTCTTTGGAAGAAAACTCTGAAAAACAAGATCAAGTCCCATTTATTGCACAACCTTCTGCTCGGGAGCTTTCTATGTGGGATACTGACGCCGGTCTAATAACCATCGTAATCAATTCCGCTGGTTTTATTTGTGACTCAGACATCCTCTTTTCCTTTCTTTCATCTGTTTGGAGGCGACTAGCCTCTCGTTCCGTAATTCGAGATCAGAACCAACTAATTACTCTCTTATTAAGCTCAGCCATCGATCAAGCCAAATGTATTAGGTCGCATATTCAGAATGTGCTTCAATAAAATTTCGTTACTCATGTTGTTTTTTAAATCCTTGTATGGGGAAATTTTGAGCTCTGATATTAATGCTGACCCGATGCATTTTAGCTATGGTAAGGATTAATGATGTTGTCAAGGCAAAGGTATGTTATAAAAAATCCTTATGTTCTGTTTAACTTAGGTTGTCTCTATAAAGCAATATGGAGCTTTTCTCAAAATTTATGGCTCAGAAAGGCAAGGTAGGCTGTGACATTTAATGCTTATTTTTTAGGTCTAGTACATAAATCACAGATATCTAAACATCCTATTGATAAAGTAGATGATGTTTTGGAAGTTGGGGAGGAAGTATTCTGCAAAATAATTGCTAATGAAGTAAGTACAACTACTTTTCCCTGTTGAGACTACCCTTTCACTCTGCCCCCTAGGATGGAAAGATTAGTCTCAGTATGAAGTTTATCAATCAAACGACTGGAGCTGATTCCGACAGAAATAATTTGCAAACAGCGTGCGTATTTTTTGCGAAAATTTTATTGTATTCATTAATTAAAAAATTGTCCTGCGCATTCTAGATGAGCTTAGCATTTTTAACTTGATAGAATATGTATCCGATGACCAGTGGCATGCTGCCGAGTTAATCAGTACGCATTCCTGTGTCT